ATAGATTCTATAGGGGAATTGTTTATGTTTACATTGTCTGTCGAGATTTCTTCTTCATAACATTAGGAATTCTTTCCATGACTTCACCTAAATTGCTGAGAAGGTTTGAAACATCAGTTAAGTGCCTGTGGGTTTTCTTCAGATGACAGATCTTGTCAGACACAAATAACAGATCTGTGGAAGATAGTCCTTAAAGAAATTCATATTTTAAGACTAATTGGCTTATCTAAAATATCTGTGTTCTTAGTGCGTTTTAAACCCCTCCCTTATGATGTTTGCTGGATTTCCAGGATTGGGTGTTAAAAACATTTCAGTGATTCTGACTGGAGCTGTCCTTGTCTAAATATTTTTGTATTTATTATTTTGTAAATCTTGCACCCTACTCCTCAGAAACAAAACCGGAGCGTTTTAGGGACTCAGCTGGTCCAGCTACCTTTGTACTCTTCATATCAGTGACTATTGTTATTGACCCATCAATCTTCACAGCTTATCTGTTTAATACGTTAACTGTGTTCTCACATTCTTTAGCTTTTCTCTGGGTGCCAGGCTGCATTATCCTGTATGATCCATATCTTCCACACAAGCCTTATATCAGTTTCTTTCCTTACCCCTGAGATGTGCTGCTTGTATTGGCCCATAAGGTCCTACTTCTATCCGTTCAGAGGCACCTCAGCTGTCATGCCCCTGAGGTGAGCCTGGTAGTTATGGAACAGAGAGGTAGCTGGGATAATTGGGGTTTGTATTAATTGGATATGATGTATTTTGATTATCTGTTTTGCTCCCCTTTGTTTTCTTGTACTGCAAGGTCTGGAAATGGGGCATTCTTTCTCAGTTCACATAAAAAGTCCCCCCCCAGAAAATAAGAATTAAAAAAAACCATATACATGTATACATATATACATACCATTAAATAGTATTGTGTTTCTCAGAGAAACGTGACCAGCCAAGTTTGTTGGTGCAGTTTGGGTAAGTGGATATCAAGGCCAATTACCCTTTTATCAACCATGGCTTCGTCTGTTTTACGCTAGAAATAATAGCTTACAGTAAGAAGCTCTAGGCCCAGAATCAAAAAGCCTCTGTCAAATTCCAACAGTCAGTTATGCTTCCATGGTCTTCCAGAAGAACAGTGTCTTTCTGAAGTAAAATACTTCCCTGTAATTGTTTGATATAAATTTGCGTGATCTGAAATCAATTATCAGTTTTTAAAAGGAAGCCTTATAAGAGCGGCATTGCTTGGAAATGCGTTGTTAGCTCTATTAAACCATTTCTTGTAAAGTTTGTAGTTATTAAGGTTTGCGTGGTAATAACATTAGAGACTTTGTGTAAGATTAAACTATAAATTTGGCACAAATCTACAGCACGAGAACTTTAATATGCAATAATTTGCTTTATTGAAAAATCCAGAGGAAACTGGAAAGTCTTTTGTGTTGTTTTGAGATTTACTGTGTCTTCTCAACTGCTGATGATGCTTGCAGGCTTTAGTTTCTGAGATACTGAAGTCCGTAAGAGGCAACCTGGGAAATGTCTGCTCACATGCTCTCATAACAAAAATCGTGTTTTTTTGTCCCTCTCCCCTATTATAGCCCAACAGAATTGTGTAATTGGAGTCCTTGGGAACAGTTCTTGAAATTCCAATATTTTTACAATAGTGTTACATGAAATTGTGGTAACAGAATGATTATGGTTTTGGTCATCTTGCCAAGAGGGTGATCAGTGGACCAGAGTGCCTTTCCTATGGGGTTGTTCAGCCTGAAGAACAGAAGGCTTCAGGGAGACCTTCCAATACCTAAAGGGACTACAGGAAAGCTGGAGAGGAGCTGCTTGTCAGGGGAGAGTGCTGATAGGACAAGGTGCAATGTCTTCATGAAAGAGGGGAGATTTGGATTAGACATAAAGGAGAAGCTCTTTGCTCAGAGGTCGGTGAGGTGCTGGCAGTGCTGCCCAGAGCTGTGGGTGCCATCCCTGGAGGCCATGCAGGGGCCCTGGGCAGCCCGAGCTGGGGGCAGCCAGACCATGGCAGGGGTGGGGCTGGGGGTCCTTTCCAACCCAACCCTGCTGTGATTCAGTTAATACATCACCAGGCTTTTGTATTTTCATGTTATGTGCTTTTCGTTTAGGAGAAAAATGACAAAGGCAGCATCAGTGTTTCAAAGCCACTGCAGCTGTGAAGCAGTGCACTTGTTGTTGTGCTGAGGTGTCAAGCAGCTTTGTCCTCCAGCTTGTGATTTTAGAATCCTTCTGAGGCATGTTGAGTAAAATGCCTGCTGCGCGTGTGTGTCACTGGAAGAGCCCGTGTTGTGTCACCAGCTCCTTAATGAAGTCAAACTCCTGTGCTGGGTTCCCAGGTTTCTGTGTGGGTGCTGCCTGGGCCAGGCGCAGGATCCAGGTGGTTCCGCAGTGGCCAGGCCTCGGGGCAGGGCTAGGCTGTCAGTGCTGACCCTGCAGGAAATCTGCTGCAAGGCAGTGAGGATGAGGAAAGGAGAGTGTGAAATAGCCCTGGAAACACCAGAATTGGCAGAGGACAAGGTTGGAGAGTGCTGAAATGATGCTCCCAGGGCCTGAGGGGAGATTGTCCGTCGGCACACAAGGACAACGCTGTGGAGCAGTGCCCTTGACAGATGATGATGGAGAGGGTGGTCCTGATGGGCTGCAGCCTGTGGGGTGGCCCAGGGAGAAATGGGAGAAGAAAGAGAGCAGAATGGTGCAGCTGCAGACTGGCTACAGTCTCCTTTTCCCCCTGTCCTGCTCAGGGTACGGAAGCTTTTTCAGACTTATGTAGGGACCTAATATGACTTGCTTTTACAAAACTGTGGTTTACAATCTCATCTCCTGTTTATCTGGGATTGAAGTAACTGCTTGAGATACTGCAGGAAAGAACTTTTGAACATACTGTGATTTAACCAGCATGGCATTCTGGGCTTCAGTTAATGATAACCTTGAACCATCAATGTAAGAGTGAGGGTATAACTTTTTCATCTCAGTAGATTTCTTTGAGAAGTCTTTATATGATGATTTTGGAGCTGATTCTCATGATCATTTAATCACCAACTTGTTATAGACAGCATGTAGTAAATTTGCTTGTCTTCATTTTGCATCAGAAAAAGTTGCAACTTTGTTTTGCATGAATACAATATAAAAACAAGCTTCCTTACATCTGCTGTCTTTATCAGCTTGTCTATGATTTACTTTGCATCACATTTAATGAGAAAACCCAAACACAGTTTTGGTTATTTTATACCTACCAACTATACGTAATTATCTTCTCTGAATAAGTATTTCCAACTTTGGGGATGTTTCTTTCTGTTGGTGTCTGCATCTCAGATCTTTCAGAAGGGGCTAAATCAATGCTGAAGTGTCATTGAAAGGTTATGCATCATTTCTTCTCAAAATTGATTAAGAACTCCAGATAATCCTGTCTGTGCTCAACCTAATTCAGCAATGCAGATATTTAATCAGGCTCAGAAAAATTAATATATTTCTGACCAAAACTGAATGTACTGAAATTTGTTTCTGGAAGTCATACAAGATTTGTGATCTTGTTGGGAAACAAATTCAAGTAGATGGAAATTTTTTTTTCATCTCCTGTTACTTATTTTTCGTTAGATACACGAAGAACGTTTTTTTTTGCAATAGTATTTTGTAATAGAAAAGACTTTGTGCATTTCCTCTGTCAGATCTATCAGAGATAAATGAACTTACATTCATTCTGAGTGTTTTACAAAACGCTACACTGCAACCAGGAATGCCATCAGAATGCCACTAATCTGCAAAGTCCCCGTTTTGTCCCTGTGTTTTCCCCAAGTGATATCCTTAGGTTTCAAGCTTTGCTTACAGGTACGAATGGAACTGAGTTGTTTAAAAAAACAAACAGTGAAAATTCAGCTGCAGTCAGTGATCAGTTTCCTTCTTTGGTTCTTCATTAGTTAGACAGCAGCTATTTTATGCAGTGTGGCTCTGTAAGGAGAGCCTTTTGACACACAGTTCTCATCTGGCAGATAATGGGAGTAGCAGAGACACCCTTCTTATGCTGTGAGTGCTTATAGGTGGTCTTTGCTCTTTGGAGTTGCCTCTTTGGAGGGGTCTTCCCCTGTAGTGAATTCCTGCACAGAACAAACATTTCCTGTTCTACCTTTTTCCCATCCCTGAAGAGTACCAGTTCAGTTGGAAATGATTGCAAAGTTGGTTGCTTAGAAAATTTTTGCTAGTAATGATGTGGTTTGTGTTTTCTTTTCTTTTTCTTTTTAATTTTTTTTAACCCTATGTGGTAGTTCTCCTCTTTGAAAATTGTTTTTTAGGTAGATTTTATCAGTGATTGTTTTAGTCCCTTTCAGAGTGCATACAGTGAATATTCATTTTCCCACTACCACTTATCATAGAAACCTGGGTGATTTTCAGCAAGTAGAGTATTTAAAATATTAAAAGTGCTTTTCCAGTGTGGTCAATCATCGTTGCTAACAGGTTAGAGCACTACATTAACTGCTGACCGAGAGCAGACATTTTCTCCGCTCTGTATTTATGAGCTGATTGGAACTAGTGATCCGTGTTGCACATAATGAATTGTTTGAGCTATGGCATGAGGTTCCACCAGAACGTGGATCCCTTAGCAAATTGAGCCCAAAATGTAGAAATAAGTTATTCAATTTAAATAGCATCAGTAACACTGCTTTTTCATATAAGTATTTTAAAGCTTGTACAAAGTGGATTAATATTCCTCTAGGGTAATTAAATGTAAATTTGGAAACTTATTAATCTCTCTCTTTCTGTTTCCTCTGTCTTGATCTGTCTTCTCTCCCCCCTCTTGCTCTTTCTTTTTCCAAATTCTCTCCCTATCTTTTTTTCCTCTTCCTTGCCCTTTTCTTCTCTCCCCACCCATTTTCTTTTGCTTCCCTTCTTTTTTTTTTTTTCCTCTTTCCAAACTTACTCTCTTTTCTCTTTCGCTTTTTGTTTTTTTTCTTCTCTCCTTCTTTTCCCTTTCCCCTCCCAAAAATATGCCTTTACAGAAACATAAGGTAGATCTGTTCTACAAACTGCGCCATGTGATGAATGAACTCATTGACCTGCGCAGACAGCTGCTGTCAGGTCACTTGACGCAGGATCAGGTGCGAGAGGTGAAGAGGCACCTCACAGTGAGGCTGGACTGGGGCAATGAGTAAGTACAGGTACCAGCTGGGTACTGTTTGTTTTAATTATTTTCACGTAGCTTTAATTTAGAACAAAAAAAAAATAAGCAAAACTTTTCTTTCCAATAGCATCTATAAGCAGAACACTTGCTTGTTTGGAAGTCATATATAACTTCTTACAGCAAGTTTACTGCATAAATCTGCTGCTGCTACTAACAGATGAGCCAAATACTGCTTACTACTTGTAGGTCTTTTATATGCACTTCTAAGTGATTTCGGTCAATTTACTTTATTTGTATCGCTGTAGTGAATATTATGCCTGGGAACGTGTGTTCATAGATACTAAACCCCATTTTTTTCCACTGAGTAAGTATTTAAATGGTTGGCATGATAACTACAGAATCTCACTGGTAACAGTTACACTGAAACTGAGACTGTGATATGAAGATTTTTAGTATCATCCATGTACTTGCTGATGAAACTTGTTAGAGCTTTAGATTCGTTGGTAAATTCCACTGTGACTTGGTGGATATTTTTTCAAAAGCTATTGAATACTGCAATTCAGATAGAAGCTGAAATGGTGCAGTTACACAAAACCTAGCCCATCAGCAGAGCTGGCTTTCTTTTGAGGTACAGTCTATCAGACAGGTAAGTTCTGCTTGACATTCACATGACCTTTTCAAAGTAAATACCACCCTCCTCAAGCATGTAGCAACTGCTTTTCAGCTAGGGGTAGGATTAGTGCTAATTAAAATATGAGCAGTGGGGTGTGGATAGGGAGAAATGAATTAGCTGAAGTCTAACTAAGGAAAAAAGCAAAATGTTTTTCACGAACATATCTTTTTTTATGACTCCTTAGTCACATACTCCCTCTGAAAGATATGCACTATGAGGACATTTTTGCTAGCCCCCACACTACATTTCACTTCTAGTGAAAAAAAGCTCTGAAGGGCTTAACACAGGAGGTGTCATCAAGTCATTGGTCTGCGATTCAGGCGTACAGATATTTTCCATTATCATTCCTGCTGGATTAAATGGGAACAAAGAAACTGTGTTTGAATATTGTCTGGACATTTTTTCCTCAAAGTATGTATGGATGAAGTTAGCAACTGGAAGTAGCAAAAATGTAAGAAGAAAATATGAGGAGAGTAGACAGGCTGCTGAACGATTGCCTTTAGAAAGCTTTTATTTTAAATGCACTGGATGTAAAATCATGAAATACGAGGTACATTAAAACCATAAAGGCAAATCCAATGCCTGACAACTGTGGAAAGCATCATGTAAATTAGTAGATAAAAGCGTGTTTGTGATTAAATTCATTTTAACTGCAGCATAGGAAGTTCCGCACAAACATGCGCAAGAACTTCTTTACAGTGAGGTGACGGAGCACTGGAACAGGCTGCCCAGGGAGATGGTGGAGTCTCCTTCTCTGGAGATGTTCAAGACCTGCCTGGATGCCTACCTGTGCGACCTACTGTAGGGAACCTGCTTTGGCAGGAGGGTTGGACTCAATGATCTCTGGAGGTCCCTTCCAACCCCTACAATTCTGTGATTCAGTTCTGTGATTCATTTCACATGTAAGAAGAAGAATGTAATGTGTATTATTATAAGATATTGTAATCCTAATTAATTAATTGTAATTAATAAGATACTGTCCTCTCTAACGAAAAACGTAGATAGTGTCAGAGATGCATGCTGAAACAGAAGAGTGCATCAGTAAAGGAACTGGATGTTCCACACGCTGGAATCTGTGTGACTGAAAAGATATTTAATTACATCCATATGCAATGAGATATTTAAATATAAATGGAATTGTGGAAGGTCATCAGGGTTTTCTTGTATCTCCTCTTCGAATTTTATCATGAAATTCATGTCCTAGTGTCTTAATTTGTTAAAAACATTGTTTTTTTTGTATGCGTGTTCACATAGTGCTGTTTTTCAAACAGTGACAGAAGAGTTCTGTCGTATTTGAGATGTGCAATTAAACGAAAAATGTCATTGCAAACATGTTAGTATTAGCTGAGAAACTTAAATACTACAATTTGAGCAGGTCTGTAATTATTCGTAGTAGTATGGTTTAATAAGAGACATTCCATGACCAAGTAGCTTTCAGAAATTTTACACGAGTATGTAGCGTGTTATTCAGCCTAAAGCTGCCTTTATCCTGACCTTGTTTATTAATGCATTGCATTAATTGGGAGGAAGTGGTGCAAACCTGAAATTCCCATTTTCAGTCACTGTGAGTTAGGACTGATCTGTTTGGTTTTTGAACCGGACTTGTTTCCGTTCAACGTGGCAGCAGTTCTGATGGTCATCCCTTGTGGTGCTGTGGGAGTTGGCAGGTTTCAAGGAAGAAATGCCCTCCCTGGATGGGTTTTCTTGTGTGTGTGAAGAACTTACCTGGGCTGTATTAATTTGGGCTGATTTTGGAAGTACTGCAGTGAACTTTCTCTTATTTCTGTATGCTTAATGTAAAATATTAAAGAAGCTTACTTGGTTGTTTGGTCTCTTAAAAATGAAGGAATATAATTCACTCAAAAATAGGTTGCTAACCTTCTCTATAGTTGCTCATCATTCTTATAATGCAGTACTGATTCTGCTTACTGTGGTGACTTAATCTTCTGTTACTGATGCATTCATTCTCCCCACTACAAAACTATGGTACATCTTTTTTTATGCTTTTTCCTCTTCCAGTTATCCTCAGTTAGGTTCTTTTTATATGCATGCAGTGGCTGATAGTACTACTGTATAGCTTTTCTTTTATTTCCCAAATAATCAGAAGAGCGCTTTCTGATCAGCATCTTAGTGCTTCTAAACATGAGACCTGAAGCATCCTTCTGTGTATCTTTGCACAGGTGAAATCTCAAACAGTGTTTTGCCCGCATCTGTTATTAGCTTTTGTACAGAATATTAGAAAGACTATTCTTTTTTAAATTGTTCATTCTGATGTGATTTATTTGGGCACTGATCATTTGAAGTCTGAAATGCAATTAGGAAAGCTCAATGGCCTAAAATCAATAGGGAAAAAATTATATTGCAGCAAACTTATATGTCAAACAAGTATATAAAAGCTGACCCCTACGATTCAATTCATTATCCTATTTTAGATCATGTTATAGAGATGATATCTGCAGTTCACTGTCTAATTTTAAATTATATTACAAGTAAAATATAAACGTGTTTTTGATATGTGTTTTGTTTATTTTAAGTTAAAAAATGGGTAAGATTTCCAACTTTTACTGATGTGTAGGATGATAAATCAGAATGGAACTTTCTTTCTAAGAAGAGTCATTGTCATTTTACACTCTTCTGCACCAAGAGCAGAGAAAGGAATCTGCCTTGCAGACTTAGTTTGAAAGGGAATGCTCTGCTTCTGCTCTAGAATTAATTGCTGTAGTATGAAGCCATTCACCATAGCAAAAAGCCTTTAAGAAGGTTTCAGAATGAATAGATGCCATTTCTGTCTGAATATGCAATATTTATCTCTCCTCCTGAATGTCCTGGTAATAACGTAATGGTTGAGAAGGGATTCAAGCTGTGAGGAACTCTCCTGGATATCATCTTTGAGGAAAACCTCCTACCTCCCTCTGTATTCTGATGCTTCCATGCTCAGATGTATTTGCTGCCATTTCCTTCTATCAATTTCTTGCTGGCATTACTTACTTTCTACTACTTCTCATCTTCATTTTAAGAAATAGTTTCCTGTGTAACATTACATCAGTGTTTTACTAATTTCTTTTCAGACTGGAGCCCTTGTAGTTTATTTTTTTATTTCTGTCGGTTTTATTTCAGATCTGTGTGTGATGTCTGTAAACAGCTTTCAGAGCCATTTCTGTTCCCTTCACCATCTTTGTTTTAAGTGTACTTTTGTTAGAGGAATATGAGTGATATTAAGTGAGACTTGAACATAGAGAAGGAATACAATGAAAATGCCTGACTGCAAAGTTATGGGTGGGGTCAGGGTAAAACACCTGGTTTTGGAGCTATAGGAGGAGATGTTCTCCTTGTCTGTTCTTAAGACTCCATGTGCCTCCAAACACACCTTTTAGTCAAATAACAGTATTTTTGCAAGGTTCTTCAAGACAGAATTGCTGCAACTTGTGTGTTTATTAATTCAAAATAGTCTGGCATTCGTATTATACATTTATGAATGTATTCTAATTTAAGACCATTCTGTGAAATCAAATCAAACTTAAACCAAGTTGATTTTCTCCAGAAGGCCAACTAAGCGAATTGTAGTGAATCGTATGCGCATCCCTGTCAGTCTTACAAGTGCTGACAGTGGTCATCAGTTTGTCTTGGTGTTATTGGAGAGAAAAGCACAGAAATTCATTCCCCAGCCAAAGAAGGTAAAATTGAGCCTTAAGTTCTAATGACTGCGCTGTGGAAGAGAGGGAGTTTCTCAGTGTCAGTAGAACTGGCCCCAGGCATGTGGTACCAAGAGATAGCTGCTGGGCTGGGAGTCTTTTGTAGGGGAACTGGGGAAACATTTTTGAAAGTCAGTGGAGTCTGCGGGCACAGTAAAAACCACAGCAAAATGCTGTAAGTGCTTGTAAAAGAAAGTGCTGCGGAAAGAAGAACTGTCAGAGAGACAAACCAGCATGTTACCTCATTTTTATGCATGATATGTTTTGCTGAAATACCACTTGACAGCTGGTGCTCTTGTATCCCCACAGTATTTTATAATACAGAGTGGAAGTGGGCCACTAACCGTCATTGTCATTTCAAACATGATGTTGTCATCTTTTGTTGGGAAAAAAAAAAAAAAAAAAGGATTAAATTCATAAACCTGGACTTGAACACACACAATATGAGTTTTGAAGCAAAAGGAACCTTTATCTTTTGGGAACAAATATTGCACAGGATTAGCGTAATTTTAGAGAATGAGAATCTTCTGGGCTGGAGATCCACTGTGTTGAGGGATTTAACTAAAAATAGGGTATCAGGTAAATTTCACAGGGATGCTATGCAGCTGTGTTGAACATTATCAAATAGAAATCAACTTCGTTGTGTGAGTAATGAGTTCAAACAGTTATTTTTAGTGCTCTAGAGAGTTGCAATTTTGACACGAGAACAGTATCAGGCTATGATTAGATTTGGCAGTTTTATTCCGTAAAGTTTTGATAGTTCTTTGTATTGTTGTACGTAGAACTGGAAGGCAGGATTCTGTGATGGTGATCACATTATTAGAAAATCATTTGTTGCTATCCTCATATTCAGGAGAAAGCCCTTCATGCACACTGTGTGCATGTGTTTGTACACACGTGTGATGGGCTCTTTAGCGGAGGGGTTACCTATGCAGATTTAGGAAGTTTCCTGTAAATTAACAGGATGATCACTGGAAACGCTTCAAAATCCACTCTATGCTTATTACTATTTTTACCTGTTCCCTTTTTTTCAGTGCTATTTTTTGACTTTGTGTTATAAGTAGGCTCCAATGGTAGCTGCAGTTGAGAATTACTTGATGCATTCTTGATCTTTTTTGTTTGGTAATTAAATACAGTAATTTTCCTCCTTACAGCAGCAATTTTCAGATGCTGTCTGGGTTTAATGAAAACTGTGAGAAGTGTGTAACTGCTATTCTCACATATGAGCCCCAGAGTATAGAAACTAGTTTTTGGCATGAAAATTGCATTGAAGAAAAAAATGGTTCCTTTTTTCCCCCACTGAAAATGTAATTGTTTTGGCAAAGAACGTGGAAGTTCTCATTTATCTGTACAGTATTTTCGTGCTAATCCCAGTACTGCCAAGCAGTTGTTTGCCAGTAAGTGAGCATGGGCTGAGCTGTGCTCTCGAGAGGAGATGGCATGAGCTTAGGATAACATTAAGCAAGGAAAGCCTGATTAAGTGGAGTTTGAATAAATCAATTAATGTTAAAAATCGGGAGTTGGGAAACTTAAGGGAAATTATTAAGAAGTACAGTGGCCAGTGAAGGCAACTAGGCTTCTTACAAATTACTGCCTCTTCCTTGCAAATGTCTTAAGTTAATTGCTCAGGAAGAGATGCTGGATTGCCTGGAGGCTTCTGTTTATCATACCATACAAAACTATTCTGTGGTACCTGAGAGAGGTTTTCTCAAATAAAAATTCATATTTGCCATCAGAAAAATGTTGTGCAGAATGCTTCTCCGATTACAAAACTAAGTAGGATTTTGCTTTTGTTGTCTAGTTGGTGGCAGGAGTGGAAGGGTGCTCCATGAGGACACCTCTGCTGACTTTTTTTGTTCTTTGAGACTAGGAAGAATTTCAATTTAAAACATGTGCAAGTGGAATATCAAAGTTATGTAAGCTGGAAGCAGGGAAATGGTTCATTTATGTGTTTCTTGAATTTTACTCCTAATGTGCATAACTGCTTCGTCCTGTAGTTGTGTGAGTGCCTTGTGCCTCAGAAACTGAGCAGCTGTAGAGCAAAAAAAAATCTCTGCTGTAGCCATCATTTTTAGACTGGTAGTCTTCTATTTTTTTCATAGTTTGGTTTTGATTTGAGCTGAAATCCTGTTTTAGTTTAGGTTAAAATTCCTGTTAATATTTTTGTAGTTACGGTTTTTTAGGAAAAGTATGCTTATACAGTGATAAAATTGGGAGTTCAGTTACATGAGGACCAGGAGTTCCTTTCAAAGGAGCTTCCCAAAGCAAATATCAGGGTTACTGATGGGAAAGTTTTGCATTACATAGTGAAGAACCTGACCTGAATACTGCACTATTTATACTAAATTTCTTTGCCTATTGATTGTACTAAACTTATTTGCCTACTGTATTACTGTGTAGGAAATGACCATACTGCACCAACATACTAAAAATCTTCAACTAACATTCACTATTAGAGCTCCTCTGAGATCAGTGAACAAAACATAACAAGCTCAGAGCACTTTTTGGCTTGATATTTAGATCTAAATTTATTTTAAAAGATTGTCTGTTTAATGATTAACTATTGCAAAAAGGTTCAAATACAGTTTCGTAGTTCTTTTCTCCTTGTCCTTGAGCAAGTAAACGTGGCTGATAATTGTAGACACAATGTACTATGCTTACCAACACAGTGTACTGTGCTTACCACTGTTCTTTTTTTTCTTCTGCAGACATTTGGGCCTAGATTTAGTTCCTCGAAAAGACTTCGAAGTTGTGGATTCCGATCAGATCAGTGTGTCAGATCTTTATAAAATGGTACGAAATCTGTGGGACATGCCTTTGAGCGCTCATACTGGGAGGGAAAGAAGGGGAAAAATAAGTATCTTTATGAATTTTCTTGACTGAAATAATATAGTAACCTTTTTGTTTTTTGATGCAATTCAACAGCTGCCTTTGGCAGGTACACTGTTGAATTCTGTCTGGTGGGAAATGCAAAGTCTTGGGAGCTCCACAGTTAAATTGTGGTGGCATCTTGCGGAGGTCTGTTCATCTGGAAGTTGTTCATCTTGGAAGTTGGAACCAGACAGATGACCCTGCAAGCTTTATTGACATACAGTAAAGAAATCTTAACAGTAAAGAAATATGCTTTAGGGTTACTAAATCATTACTTCAAACAACAGTTATTAACTTGCTAGGAGAAATAGGAATGTTCCTCACTGCAAGATCTAGTGTTGTTTGTCCTTACTTCCATTAATTAAAACATCTCAAACCTGGAGTTGATCAGCAGTTGGGTGAGTTCAGAAAGCCCATGAGAGCCATTGTTTGATTCTTTCTGGGGAGTCTGCAGATAGGGATAAAAATTGAAGTGCAAACTCTGCTCCTAGGATGTGCATGGATAATAAGCACACTTGCTCCTTTTCAAAGATTTTTAAGCTCACAGGCAGGAAGGAGAGAGGATGCTGAATAACTTTCTTTAAGCAAAACTAATTGCTGAACATTAAAGCTATCTCTGTGATGTGGCAGTGTCCCTTAGAAACGTATGCGGTGTCCCTTAATAGGAATGTTCTTTTGGATTAATTATATAATATAACAATGCATTTTGTGTAAAGAAGTTCAATTCTTCTACATAATAAAGGACAAAATATGCTGATCTACGGTACTGATGTTTGTAGACTGAGGAGACTTTGCAGCTATTACTGGAGAGTTTTCCTTCACGCAGTTTTTAGCTCAGATCTGTGCTGCTATTCAGGACATGACCGTTAGTCAGTTCACATTTCACCATGGCTTCAGTTTGTAGAGTCAGGAAGACAGCACTGTGATCACGTCTACTGAGTGGACAGAATGTAATTTCAGGAACCAAAACAGCTGAACACCTTTTATTTGCTTAACTTCAGTTTTGTAGCAACTGAAGATTTTTAAAATTGCTTTTTATTGTATTTTTTTTTCCTCATGGAAAGAATCCTCTATACTCATGATAGAATACTTAACAGATTATCAAATCAGCTGTGAGGTTTAACACTGCAAAATAATCTTGTGAGAATAGTTGTGAGAGCCCAATTACTTTTGCATTTTCACAGAATTACAGAGCATTAAATGTACCAGAGGAAAAAGTCTCATAGCAGGAAAATGGATGAAGTAACTTTAGGCTTTCCCCATCTGTGGCAAGAAGTTGAAGTATCATACGCAAAGTTATTATTTCCCTTGGTAAAATTTTCATTTAAAAATGTTGTGCATTTGATTTGTTTGGGGACAGTGTTGCTGAATACAGTTGGTGGAATGTCTTTTACTTTCATCTCTCTTGAAGCTGCGAGGTTATCAGATCCCGCTGGTCCTGCTAGAGAGTGTTTGTTCAGAGTAAGATATTTGGTATGAAATAGAAGGGTAGAGGTGGAGGAGAACAAGGAGAAGATGTGTTGATGTTTCAGTGTGAAGTACTTATGGTAGGATGAATTTGTGTGGAACAGGCATGGCAGAATCATTAATTATATGGTTTTTAAAGCTCTCTGAAACCTTTTCAATTTAGATTAGTATTTAAATCTCCATTTGGAGATTAAATGGGTTCAGTGAGACTTGCAGTCCATTTTCTGATTATAGCATTTCCTTTTAGTATGAAGGGCTTTAAATACAGGATCATCCTCTGAGTTCCGTTGCACAGCTGTAGCTCTGCATGGATTCTTTTGTACAGGTGTTGGACAGCTGAAATTGTAGAAGAGTTCTTACCTATTTTTCAGGATCTCATTTCCTGATCTGAGCAAAAAGTTTTAAAAAATATGTATAAAATTCTTTCTAGAAGTCAGTATTGTTTCTTTCTAGAAGTCAGTATTGTTCCTTTTTCATTTTATTTTATTTATTTATTAACAAATGCAGCTTCTCGTGGACCAGCATACTGATAAATGAGTATTAAGTGAGGTGTTCACTCATTTAAACGGAAATGCAGGTTACACAGTACAGGGTGATGGACTTCTCGAGAAGTAATATTGCAGCCATGGAAATTCTGTCTAACTTGTGACAGACATTTATGTTCAACCTTTAGGTACATACAGCCTGTAAGTTTGATTAGTTAATCTAATAAATGACTTAGTTGGAGAAAGCTTTTAAGGCAAGCTAGTGGCTTTGTGAGTCATGATGTTTGGTAACAATCTTGAGCAATCGTATTTACAGAATACTCTTTTAATGCAACACAAATGTAGTTTCAGCAGTTTCTCATGTTCAGAAGGGTTTCACTTTTACTATTCTGTTTCTCCACAGCATTTGTCAAGTAGACACAGCGTCCAGCAAAGCACGTCACAGGTAAACATCATTTACATAACAATTTTTGCTGTTTGTCTTTAATAACGTATCTGCATATTTGTGTTTGATGGAGATCATTGGGTACCCAAGTTCCTCAAAATAGCCTTGAAAGTAGCTTGCTTCTTCTACAGGTCCTTCAACATCTGCTTAGGCTCTTTTCCTCAGCTTTCTGTTTTTCTTAAGAGAACAAGTTCCCTAGTGAGATCATAAGCCTCAGTCTGTCCGTGTGAGTTTTCTTTCTACCTGCTAACACATAACCTCAGAGGCTTTTATTTTATATACCCTTTCTGTAGTAATGTAATCCTTTCTTGGTCATGAAATCTGGAGTTAATCTTTCCTAGAGAGCTGTGCTTGCACAGGTACAAATCTTTGAAGGATGAGGATTTAGTTGGATTTAATTCAGAATCTAGAACAAAAATTGTTTGAAGCTGCATTTTGAAAGCTACTACAAATCTGAGTTGAAACTATGAAAATATAAAGACTGACTTTGTTAGTGTCTGCATATTCAGAGGAGACTGAGCCTAGTGTGCTAAAGTCTGATGTGCATCATATTTGTTAAATGAAGCTGCAAAAGAAATAAAGTGCTATGAAAATAAAAGAAAAATTGTTTGTGATTATCTTCTTCACTACAGTTTTCACTGTTGTAAATAGGTCTTGGTATACTAAAAAACACAAATCTTTCTGCTGTTTCACTTTATAGATTGCTCATGTTACCAACCAACATCGGGATTTCTTTCTTATTATCTGCAGGGCAGTTAGCTTCTGAAGTCTGGTTCTAAATGATCTCCATAAATGACTTGCAGGTGCTAAAAAAAAAACCACACAATTTAAACATTACTCTTAAATACTTGAGTGGAAGTTCATCCGATGTAAAAAATAGGATAAAAACTTCGTGATCTGTCTTGAAAATGGGGTATATTTGAGATTAAGCATTATTTAATGGAGAAAAGAGAGCAGAGTTTGAGTTGAAATTATCATTCATATCATATCATATGTCAGTCGTATGTCTTTTATTTGTGACAAATGGCTTCCATTGTTTAATCAGGTGGATACAATTCGCCAGCGTCACGGAGACGCTTGCCGTATGCCAGTGCCTCATCACTTCTTCCTCAGTCTGAAGAGTTTCACCTACAATACAATTGGAGAAGACACTGATGTCTTTTTTTCTTTATATGATGTTCGAGAAGGCAAGCAGATCAGGTAGGAATTAATACATAACTAAAACGTTCTCTGAAAAACATGTGAGGAAAGCATGTGTCCGTGGAGGAAAGCATATGAACTGCCATTGAGACAAAACTGAAAGAACGCTGATAAATTGTGAATTGGTAGTTCTATAAGGCATCCAAGAATTCAGTAACACTAAACATTATTTATGAAATTTGGTTCTTGTAAATAACCGAAGTATTACAGGCACAGAATGGTTGAATTGTGTTTAGGCTTCTCACCTGGTCTCTGTGCGTTAGTGAAGGTCTTAAATGTTTTAGTAACTGTTTTCTTAGGGCTGTTAAGAGCTATCAATAATTGGAGTGTCATGCTGTATGACTCCAGAAGAGGACTGCTATATATTTTGGTGCTGAATTGGACTCTCAAGCTTTCATCCACTCCTTGCTTTACAGGCATGTTAGAATAGATCTTGTTTTCATCACTCCTTTACTAGCAGTATCAACTGGCATGTTTCAGTTCATCCTTGTGTCTAGGCTGGGTAACTGCTGCTCAATGTTGATGTAGCTGATACTGATGTCAGCAAACATGAAATGTTCTGCATTTTTCTGTCAAAAGTGTGTGTTTTGAAAATATCAGACTGTATAGAATAGTATTGCAGTATATGCAGCATGTCTTGGAAATGAAGTAGGGATAGCGTGGTTGGATCTAAAGTACAGCATCTCTGGGTTTTTTGTGGACTTTGATTGAAGCACGTCCTGACAGCTGACACCACTTCTGATACTGTGATGGAAACTGTCCTACATATTTCAGCAAATATTTCCCTCTGAACTGAGGGAAGAGTCCCCAAACCTTCTTTCCTTTCTCTGGAAGAACACCGTGCTGTCCAGGGGGAGCTCAGAGTAGATTGGTAAAGGCTTGGTACCTTTTCAAACTAAATTCCACTCAAAAAAACTGTGATATGTTAGAAAGCTGTAATGACTTGATGCATCTTAGGAATGTGTCTGCACCGCTTGATTTGGCAACGTAAGATTTATTTTGCAGAATGTGGCAAGAATGTCTACCGTGATACTACATCACGTCCACCATCTCTGCCAGAGAAATGCTTGTACTGGTTGTGAGCACATGTCTATGATTTCTCTGTGAGAGAATTAACAAGAAATTAATTCAACAGATGGAAATGCAACGGAGGGAAGAAAAAAAATGGGAAAGAAAACAAGTCACAATTACTTAATACCACAAAGCAGTAAAATTATTGAGCTGAGGAAAGCTGCAGGAAAGAGAAACTGACAAACTGCAGCTGTGACTGTGGAAGGCCTCAGAAAATGCTTCTACAGAGTACTTGTCTTGGGCTGGACTTTGCATAGTGTGTTAACGTGGAGTGGAAAGGCCTTGAGAAGGCTTCTTTCCAGTGATTGAAAAGAAGAAAAAATAAGAGTGACAATGTGTGGCTCAGCGGGTTTTAGATGTATAGAATAATGCTTGAATGTGCAAATAGTTACTGCTTAACACTTGTCTTATGCATCTGCTGTAATGAAAGCAAGCTGCTTTGTACTTTGTTTTATGTCCCTTAAGAGGGGAAGGAAGAAGTTGTAATGAGATTAAGGTATGTTTTGGGAAAGAAACTTGAAAGCGGAAAAGAAACGCTCTGCTTTAAGTTTAGAGCGGTGTGTTTAGGTCTGCTTTAGAAGATGAAGTCTCTTTTTCTAAGTGCCTCAGGAAATAGTGCATTTAGGTGGTAACTAAGCAGAACTTCTGCATGGTGCTTCACAATGAAAGGGCCAGATGGACTTTCCTGCAGTGGTTATGGTGAGTTTCTCATGTGAACTCTTGGATTAACTGAACAGAAAGTTCAACAATTCACTGTTTGTTATCAGTAGCTGAATTTTCTCCCTTCTGTGCTGTGGTGATCTGTGGTGGCAAGGAGGTTATGGGTCCTTGGTTCTGCTCAAGTTGAACTTAAAAAGGGCATCCAATAAGCAAACATGAAAGTATTTCCACATCAGGGAAATACGCACCCACAGCAGTAGCCATCGTTCTGGTTATTAGCTCAACAGCCCTAACTGGTGTGAAAAATCTGATGCTCTCTGAAGTGTACTGTACACATACTGGGAGCCACTTTTGTTTGCTTTTCCCAGTTGTTGCACAGCTGTTAGGACCTGGAGCAGGGAACAAGGAAGGAAAGGGCCAGTGTTCTGCTACCAATAGGAAGAGGAAAGGTATGGCATGAAGTGTGCTGTCACTGATTTATTTCCTTTTTGTAAAGTGTTTGAAATGGTTGACAGAATGCCTAGGAACTTTCTCACATGAATCCACATACACGCAGAGCTGTATCCTTTGTATCTCAAGGGAAGTTTGGTGGGAAATTTCCCATGTGCTGGGAATGTGGGTCTCCTTATGGTTGCAATCAAGGATTCCTTGCGTTAATGCTGCAAAGGGGAACTTTCCAAGTTGCTTCATTGGGACATGCAAGGATTCCTGCAGTTTCAAGCAAAGAAGAGAAGACTACTTGTGCATTTCTAATGCTAGTTTCTGCAGTGGAGATGAGAGGAATATTGCTGCTTTGGATTTCTTTTCAGTGTTTTGTTCTGTGCCTGTCCACATGAAAGCGCTGCAGTATTTACAGCCCTGTGCTCGGTCCAGGTGCTGCTGTGGTGCTGTTAGGCACCATTTTGAAGGCTGTGTTTCGTGCAGCCTGTAGTTACGTGGTGCTCTCTGGGTGTGAAGGTATCGTGGCACACGTTTTGCTTTTCTTCGGCACTGCCTCTGCCTAAGCTACCGCTTCTCGCAGAGGACAGTCCTGCAGCAAAACCTTGGCAAGTAAACTCCAACCACAGTGTCAGGGACCAGTTGAGACAGAGGACAGAGAGAAGGCTGTGGGCTCTGATGATGAGGTTCCCACCAGACTGTGGAGAGAGCTGGCTGAGAGCCACGCTGGAGAATGGTTGCTGGCTCAGGAGAGAGCAGTGCCCAGCTATGTCTACCTGCTCCTGAGGGGCACTTGCAGCACTGTCAGCCATTGGCTCCTCCTAGAGAAGCTGTTGGAGTTTGGAGTGGAGGAGCAGGTGGTGGGATGCTCTGAGAAGTGCTGAACGGTCACAGTCAGCAGGTGATGATGTCAGAAGACCACGCCGCCCGTTGCCATGGGTTCTTGGAACACAACACATGCAGTAACGGTTCAGGCCTGCTGGCCGTTGGGAGTTGTGCCGGTAGACGGGAAGGATGCCTGTGCTTCAGCTCCCCACCAAGAGAAAAGCACCAAAGTCCCATCTGAACTGGGAGCCTCCTGCAAAACGTCAGAGGCTGGATGAGACTGTGAGGCTAAGGCGAAAGAGAAAATTAAGCCCAGCTGATGACGTCCTTCTTTCACCTCCAAGGAAACGTCAGAGGCTGGATGAGACCGTGAGGCTGATGCGAAAGAGAAAACTGAGCTCGAAAGATGACGACCTTCTTTTACAACCGCCTACAAAACGTCCAAGGCTGCATATAGGAGCAAGGCGAATGAGGAAGAGAAAATGAAAGCCAGGAATGGAAGACCTCCTGTTGCAATCCGGTGGCAGGCTGAATCCAGTGGCAAAACAAGAGGAGTTGCTGCGGTTGTTGGGACTCTTCCAGCCAACAGAAGCTGCCACTGAGTCACCTGCAGAACTGAGCAGCTGGAAGGGAAATCTTTGAGCAGCTCATTGTTGGTGCAGTTTCTAAGGAGCTGCTGATTAGGGGAAATTTGCTTACATAGAGATAGATAGGTATTTGAACTTTGTATAAGTTAACAAGAGTTATGTTATATTTGAATAGACTATTAAGATTATGCATGAGTATTAAGATTATTATATTATTAAGAATATGTTATATTTGCACTTCATATAAGTTAATAACAGTTGATACATTCTATTTGAACTGAAGTTGTGTGGTCTTCTGTTGATGGGAGAATGCATTTTGCGTACAGGCACATGAAGCCAATTTGCAAGAGCAGCTGAGGCATGTTGTGTCTAATACTGAGCCTAACACAGACAGGTACTGGCAGTGCAATGTGACTATCAGTCACTGTCACCTGGAGCAGGGGAAGCCTGTGGCAGCTGCAAGAACAGTAACCCAGGCTATTTTCCTTGTCACCACCCCAGCTATTTCTGAAGCCTATTAATGGCGTTTTTAGCTCTTGCAAACTATATAATCAATGGATATTAAGATGGTATAATCGCAAAAAGAACAAGAGAGTTAGGCAAAGTAGACTAAGATAATAAGAGAGAGTAAATGGAAGGCTTGCCCGTATGCTAGGCTTAACTACAGAAAACACCAGAAGAGGGGATCTCCAGATGAGATCCTTCCCCACTGGTAGCCAGCTCTTAAATAGGTCTAGGAGAGGTGCAGCCAGGCTCGACCCCTTCCGGCAGCGCAGGTGAATTGCCTTCACCTGTGCTCCTCTGGCTGACTCATGGCTCGCTTCCGGTGATCGATCAGAGGTTCAGGCCGTGACTCAGCAGTTCCCATACACAAACCAAATGGTGAGAGTACAAATCTGAATATTCAAAGTGACACTGGGTCATTAGGCAGAGCTTTCTAAAGTATCACCTAAGTTTTGAGAGTTCATTTGAGACACACACACACACAAAAGACATTTGAAATGATGCAGGTGTTACAGCCCTACCAATGACTCATAATGAACCCATTCCCTTTCACCAGAGGGGAACGCTCTCCTTGGCCTGTCTCCTCCTGCCCATGTTCCTGTAGAACCCCTCCTTGTTATCTTTCACATCCCTCCCTGAGTTCAGCTCCTTCTGCGCCTTGGCTTTCCTAATCCTATCTCTGCACACACGCACAACAGCCCTGCATTCGTCCCAGGCTACACATCCCTACTTACACTTTCTGTGCGTTTCCCTCTTTTCCCTCAGTGTAAGCTGCACGTCCTTGCACAGCCATGTCAGCCGCCTGCCTCCCCTGCTCGACTGCTTCTGCTGGGGGGTGCAGAGCCGTTGGGCTCTCTGACGGGCGCCCTGAGGAGCTGCCAACTCTGCTCTGTGCCCATGCCCTTAAGAACACTT